GAGCGACGTGGAGAGGTGGCAGTGTCCCTCCTAGTCCGTGCCCGCACCACGAGCGGGCTTTGTGTGCATGACTGGCATGCTGTATTTGGGCGCTGCCCCTGGAGAGCGTGGGAGGTTCATGTTCGTCATTCATTCATTCTCTTGCAGTTTGTACCAGGCATGTAACTTGGAGACCTCCCTGGGCAAGAGGTCCCCACAGGCTAGACTTCAAGAATGAACTTGTCGGCCTTATTAATGTGGAAAGATCCAAACAAATCCAATGTTTCTGCACCTAAGAACATCTTCCAGATGCAAAGTAGCATCGCCAAGGCCTGTGGAGGTCCCTTGCCTTAAAGTCTGATCACACGAGTCATCTACTCTCCAAGGTGGAATTCTTTTGAAACTGTAACTTGTTTCTGTCCAGAACTTTGGTAATTCTGGGGGCTTCACAATATGCCTGAGCTCAGGGCAGTTCTGAAACAGGTCTCTGGGTGTGATTTCTAAACCACGATTCCAGATTTAAGTGTGAACCCCTGCACGCCAGCCACATAAATAAATCCACAAAAACGCCACTCATACGTCTCCCGGGCAGCTTCAGCCCAGTGCCTTGCATCACATCAGGAGGAAGCACAGGCCCAGGAGCCCCTGGGACTGATGGGGTTGGGTCCCTTAGAGTCTTGATTTTGCAAGGCCTTAATCGGAAGGTGTTTCTGAATGCATATCTTCATTCTATAGCCTGAAATTCTCCACATTTTCCTGTATCTTCTTTTGCTTCATTTTGACATCAGTGAAGACCCAAGCAGGAACCAGTTTTACAATTTTAATTATTTGTCTACCACACCGTGCAATAAGCACAAACTAGTTAATCTGTCATGTGTCCTGCCTGAGGGATTTTCCCAGGGCCACCGGGAACAACACCCTAATCCTGTGATTTACATGAACGTTTGAAATCTCCATTTCCCCATAGTTTTATGGGTTAGTTTCATCTTTTGCAATAGGCTCATAAAGGGCCTATAATAATGAGGGATTAGTGTAAATTTCATACTTAGTGTGCGCACACACACACACACACACACACACACACCACTTGACATTTAAATGCCTGGAAATCACACCTACTCTGCCTTGGTGGCTAAAAATAACAGACCAGTAAAAGGAGTAATGAAATAAGAAACAGAAGGGAAAGAGTAACAACATATGACCTCCTAAACTCCCTATGTCTGGCCTCGAAGCCATCGAGCTTAGTGAGTAGCAGCGGCCTTTCCCACAATTCCTGCTTCCTACCCCCAGCCAAAGTGAGCTGGCATCCTCCTTGCTGGCTGGCAATTGGGAGACGGCCCCTCTCCGCTGTGTCCTGAGCAGCGTCCACTGGGATAGCTCCTCTGAAGCGACAGTCTTGCTGACTGCAGACCCTGCAAGCTGGCTCCAGTGAGCGACATATTGATGCGCGCGGCAGGATCCCACATCTCCTCTGAGGGTGTTCCCCAATCGAATGCCAGGTGGAGAGATTGCTAGGAGAGGGTGGGAGGTGCTGGCTGGGGGAGACCTCGACATTGTGAACCTCTATCTGGCTCTTCCTTTCTTCTGGGCGTTAAGGAGGCAACACTTTTCAGTCACCTGCCCTTGGGCCTGTGCATGTTCTGGGCCAAGACGGGCTGGGGGAGATGCTGCATATCCCACCTGGACCCCGGAGTGCTCAGCATAGCCACCGGGTCAACACTGTGAAGGGCTCGACTGCCCACATACCATGCCCTGAAGGATGGGTGACCCGAGAACAGTTTACGCTCACAGCCAACTGGCACAAGAAGCAACTGAGATCCTGGGGTTTGTTGTTACTGAAGCGTAACTTAATCTTCTCTGACTAATATAATAAGGCATTTGTATTTTACTGAAGCCAACCCACGCTAGAGCCTGCTCATGACCCTAGGATCCCTAAAGGCCCGTCAACAGATACACAGATGAAGGCCATGTGTCATGTACTGCTCTTCCGTAGAGGAGGGGAAGTTGTGTCATTTGTGGAGAAATGGAGGCACCTCGAGACCATAATGCTACCTGAGTCAGACACAGGTTAAATAGTACATTTTTCTCTTATATTAGAAACCCAAATGTAAGAATGATGAAGATGTACTATGGGTGCATGCAATTCCTCAGGGGCGTGTGGTTACGTGAATCACAAACATGTACTAGCAGAAAGTAAGCTAAGCACATGCTGCTCTGGTTGGAACAGGAAGTCGCTTGTTTGCTTTGATTGAAGCTGTTACTCCTCCCC